TTTTTTTTTTTTTTTGCTGGGGCTGGGTTCAAACCCACCTCCTCTGGCACATGGGCCTAGTGCCCCACTCCTTTGAGCCACAAGCGCTGCCCAATGACACAATTTATTGAAGTTTTGTACAGCACAAGTAGTAAAAGAGGACATGGACTCAAGTGTGATGGCCGTGATCACCTGCATGGGCGTGTCATAGGATAGTTTGTAAATTATAGTTTGAACTGTTTTTGTCACATTCGACCCTGGCTATTCAGACAGTGTACTAGTTTAAAACGAGTCTCAGGAATACAGTGAGAATCTTTCAGTGATTATAGCTGATATCAAAAACGTCAGTTCATAGAAAATGTCTTTATGAGAAATACTACATTTGGTGTTTACAAAATAGCGGTATTTTGGTCCGGTGTGGTGGCTCACACCTAGAATCTCAGCACTCTGGGAGGCTGAGGCAGGTGGACTGCCTAAGCTCACAGGTTCAAGACCAGCTTGAGCCAGAGCAAGGCCTCATCTCTAAAAACAGCCAGGCATTGTGGCGGGCACCTGTAGTTCCACCTACTTGGGAGGCTGAGGCAGGAGAATCACTTGAGTCCAAGAGGCAGAGGTTGCTGTGAGCTGTGATGCCACGGCACTCTACCCAGGGTGACAAAATGGGAGACTGTGTCTCCAAAAAAAAAAAAAATAGCAGTCTTTTATCAACCAGAGTCGGCAATAAGGGTGCACATGCTCCGTACTCACTGTGCTGACGCGTGGTGTTTCTTCATGTTGTCTTTCGATAGAAGGCGCTTACAGCTCAGCGCTAACCAAGCCTTCTTCCTCCTGGTGAACGGACACAGCATGGTGAGCGTCTCCACACCCATCTCCGAGGTGTATGAGAGCGAGAAAGATGAAGACGGGTTCCTGTACATGGTGTATGCCTCCCAGGAAACATTCGGGATGAGACTGGCAGTGTAAGGCCAGAAAAATAAGTCGATTCTAGAACTTTTTATACCCTTACCAAGGAAAAAAAGGGATGTTACCAACTGAAATTGATCAGTTCACCTAATCACAGATCATTAAAACAGTAGTTTCCCCACCTCCTAGTTTTAGGAAGTTGTTTTTGTAAAACTGAGCTCCAAGTGAGCACATTCAGGCTTCAGAAAACTATGTCACTTAACCTAGTCTATCTTGTTTTCAAATCTTAGAAGTTTAAAAATAAAATACTTTGCATTCTAAATTGCCAAAAAAAAAAAAAAAAACCCTGCAAGTTATTTTAATGCTCCTCCCCCTCCCCCCATAGGAACTTTCAATTTGAGCAATAATTCAAAGGCGTTCAGAGACACTGAGTTTTCTCTTTAGAATCCCAGAACCTGCTACCTTTTTTACAGAAAGGTTTCTACTCAACTCTTGAAATCTTCCTAGAGGATCTTTAGGCCTAATTTGTCAACCATAGTCCCCCCAAAACACATTTACTGTAATAGTTGGCACCAAAACAGCGTAAGTAGGATGGCAAGAAAACACCTGCTCAGGGTTCCTGATTCCTTAGCAGAAGCGTACCACAAGTCCACATTCCTTGGACAGCTGAGAAAACCGCTCAGTAGCAACCAGAATAATTTATAATTTTGATCTAGTTTTTTAGCAGGCCCCAGAGAAAGAGTGGTATGTCTCCTTTTGGATTTTCTCTTAAGAGCTCAAACTAGTGCTGAGTTGGTAAATAAACAAGTGGTTGTACCAGCGTCATCTTTTAGGGCAGTGGCAGAAACTACAGAATAAGAAAATTGAAAGCATTAAAACTCAGAGGGACTCCTGCCTTTTTGCTTTAAAGCTGTAGGTGATCTATATTTTTTATGTTGAAGGTATAACTATGATGTTATTAAAAGGTTTTCATATTTTTAAAAGTAGTTCAGTTATCATTTAGGTCAAACCACCATCAGAATTCTCCCACTGTAAGTGCATGTTGGCTGTGGAGAACACACAGCAAGAAGAAACGCGTGCTCCGTAAACACATCTACAGGGATGTCGCCATCGTCCAGGTCCAGCCTGGGTGGCCAGTGCTTCTTGTACCTGCACGGGCTTCGCTGTTCACTGCTTTCTTTGGAGTATCATGGGAAGATCACGGTGATGCCACCGAGACATGTAGCAGGCCACAGCTCACCCCTGTGTGTGGAATACCTGTGTCTGTTAACTTACTGTAACGGAGGGAAAAGCCAGAGTCCTCACCTGCACCTTCAACTGGTCTTTAAAGGGGTTCCCATCACCTGCCGCCCCCCATGTGCATGTGTCCACTTGGCTCACTTCCAGTATCTGTATCTTATATCCTGTGAGTTCTCAGCAGGCTTGTCTTTGGATTGTATACATTCTATCTTACATTCTTGTAACTATTGTGTGATCTGTAAAATTTCTATAAGAAATACTGCTTTAAAAAAATGCCACATGAGGGGGGTGTATGTGTGTGACCTGTATCCCACTTTAGCAGGTGGTCACTTTATAGGATCTTAATAAGTACATTTTTAATGAACTGAGGTGAATAAAGGCACAATTAAAAACTCATGAAAGCTTAATTTAATGACATCAGCGTTTGTGACTACAGAGCCCACATATTGTTGGGTCTCTCCGAAGTCAAGCAGCTCACTGTCTTCCCAACAAGGGCCCTCCAGGCACACCTAGTTCTGAGGACTTCAGCCCATCAGTGGCCCTTCCTCACCTGCCACCTGGTCTTGCCTTTGCAAACTGAATTCTTTAGAAATTATGGACATGCTACAAAGTGAGGATCTATGTAGGACCCAGGTGTTTCCCTAAACCAACCACCACCAGAGTGGAACACCCACAGAGTACTGGGAGGGCTACAGGTGCCATGGACATGAGCCACCAGCAGCAGGTGAAGACAGGAGACGGGACCAAACCCACACTTCAGTAATCACTTAAGCATTTGTAGAACTACAAACACACAAAGGCGTGAGCAGAGGAACTGCTGTGCTCCCAAGTCAGTGCTTAAGAGCAGCTCACGTGTTCCCCTACCCATCTCCAGAACACCATCAAGACAGTCTGATGAACTGGAGGGTCGCCAGCAGTGCTGTCTCCCCACAACCCTTACCTGGCATTGCCAGAGCACACACGCCTGTCATCACTCTCCTAAACCCAGAAAGACCTGTGCATGGTCCTTTATCACAGTTACTGGATGGCTCCAGGTAGCAGCCATGTCACCCCCTCTGTAGCAGGCCTGCTCCCACTCAGGGCAGTGCCACATCCCCAAGGTGTCTGCAATCTCATAGTGCCACTTTGAATTTTATGCAAACACAAGCAAAACATCTTTAACCCCAAATCAAGAGTTTTGTCTTTGTCCTTAACAAGGACATTTTTTCAAAGTAGGAAACTTGATAGAAAATGGATGGATTTGACTGGGCACAGTGGCTCAGGCCTGTAATCCCAGCACTCTGGGAGGCAGAGGTGGGTGGATTGCTTGAGTTCATGAGTTCCGGACCAGCCCGAGCAAGAGTGAGACTCCATCTCTACTAAAAATAGACAATCTAAGACAAGGGCACTGGCCACGTAACACCTACGGTGGTGGGTTCAAGCCCGGCCCAGGCCAGCTAAACAACTGCAACAAAATAATTGCTGGATGTTGTGGCAGGCACCTGTAGTCCCAGATACTTGGGAGGCTGAGGCAAGAGAATGGCTTAAGCCCAAGAATTTGAGGTTGCTGTGAGCTGTGATGCCACCGCACTCTAGTGATACTGAGTGCAACAGCTTGAGGCTGTCTCCAAAAAAAAAAAAGGATGGATTTAAGACCAGCTATTCCTTCTGTAAACCTGGGAAGTAGGTAGAAGAGCTGAACCCCTAGTTTTGGGGGGGGTGAGATTATAATTGAAAAGACCTGTGCTTTGTGTTCTGAAACAAAGACCTAATAAAGTCAGTGACTGAGCCTTTTTTTAAATTTTTATTTTCAGTACATTAAATTTACTCATAAAAACATTCTAAAAATGTACAATTTTTCCTTTTTAACAAAGTATAATAAAACATAAAAACCCCAAAAACAGAATACTTGACATTTACAATTCAAAATCAAATTAGCAGAATATTAAATATTTACAAAACTATATCTTTTAAAAATATTTATAAAGTTACATGCAATTTTGTAGAATTGACAAAAGAATGGCTCAAAAATGGGAAAATTTTCCTTCATTCCTAAAAAGAAAACATGTCCAATAGAAGCTATGAAGACTCTTGAGTACACAGGTTCAGATTCGGTACCAAAGCCTCATCTTTTTGTGCACATGAGAACTCACACGTGTGCGAGGGCTGTCACCACACGTGCGGCTGCAGCGGGACTGAAGGTCACTGCTCCCCTCCCTTGGTGAACAGTGCAGCAGTGCTGACCTTTGGCCTCAACCAGCACAGTATATGGTTTTCTAGAATATTGCGAGTATTGATTAAAGATGCTCACTTCCATTCAGACCCCCTCTTCAGAACCCATGGCTTTAAATGTCACCTGACTCGTTCTTTGGGAGTCACCCGCACTTTGGAAAGGACAGCAGATCCCCCTCAGGTTGCACAGGACCCTTGTCTAGGGCAGAGGGTCGAGTTGAGCAGGGGGTGGTGTCCCTCACCTCACAGCCTTGAAGACCTCAGTTACCAGGGTGGACAGGTGAGGCATAAAACAATACTGGGAAGCAGGGAGGAGGACGAGAAACAACAGGGGTCAAGGCAGCTGCCCAGTTCCCGTCCAGCAAGTGCCCATGAGCAGCACTGGAGAGTGGGCATGTGGAGTCTGGTCCAGCCTGTGCTCAGGTGTGAGCCACAGGACAGCTGGGTGATGTTCAGGCACAGTCACCACCACCTCCCGCGTGCTGCAGTGCAGAGTGTGTAGTGTAAACTAACTACTGTTTCTGTAATAGACGACCTAGGATTCTAAATACTGAACTCAAGTACGGAACCTACTAACTACTTATTAACAAGCTGACTCCTGAATCTTTTTGGAGATGATGCTGGTTATTTTTATTACCCAATCACATATGTGTGTATTCAAGAAAATGTCTTTAAGTGCTAGCTCCCATCTCCTCAGTGCTCTTGGCAATCAGGAGTTCTAATGTTAAACACTTACCAACTGTCAATATTACTATGAAAAAAATAGAAAGAGGGTAGAAAATTGACTGTTTCATTTAAAAAATAAAATTAAAAATTAAATAGTTGCTTTATCCCAACACTATCCTCCCCCCATCTCTGCATTCCATTTTCCCCACTCTTGGAGATCAAAAATGGTGTTACTATCTGATAGACTGCAAAGAGCAAAGGAGCGATGGGCGCCACAGCCAGCTGGTCGCTAAAGCGTCTGAAACTGAGACCACAAGTTGAGGAAAATGACTTTAGTACTTGAAAGGGTCAGCGTGTTCTGTGTTTTCTAACTGATGAGAAAGTCTTCTGACAAAATGCAAGGTGTTCTTTAGGCTCACTGACCTTGGTTGCTTTTGGAGAGGAATTCATCAGAGAAAAGAAGTGCTAGCAATAATCAAGTCCAAGTGTGTGGCTCCCTTAGGAAGAGGTCTCGTGGCCTGGTGGCTGAGTTTTCTGTACCGTGTAACTCATTTATGTCTCACAATTCTCAACTCTGAATGGCCTTACGGGAGACGTCACACTCTACACACGTCAAAGACAACTGGAAATTTCCCAAAGACCTCTGATGGCCGGAGCACAGCCACCCAACGTCAGAACTTATTTACCTCAACTCTGTCATACTTCAAACTGAAATTTCTATTTTAACTTTTTGTTGTATTTAAGGTTAACCTCAAATATTAATCAAAATAGTTATAAGGGTAACAACAGATACTTTCAGTCCCCTATACTGACCACTACAACAAAAATTTTAAGTGATTTTCTTCTTGTTGTGAGACAGTTTTCAACAATTTCAGTGTGTTGAAATAGGATTTATTTAAAATATTTCTTTGTTTAAAAAAACCAAAAAGCTTAAAAGTTTGGCTTTCAGCACATATGTAGGCCACCATCACGGCCGTCAGAAATAGTAAAACCGTAAACATCAATGAACACTCTTAAGTTTTCCTTCAACACAATATGACACGGTCCAGTCTAGTTCTCTTTAAGGCAAAGTTGTGTCAGTTCTCATATTTTGACATTTTGTAGTGTTTGTAATTTAAGAGAGCAACATAACGTTCCCCAAACGGCTGCTGTAGTGTGCATCACCATTACCTCAAAGCTGTAACACTGGATACCAGGAACAGAGAGGACACGGAGGTCTGTCAATTCTGCATTGCATAGAAATAAAACTTAACTGAAACAAAACTAAAACTCTACTAAAAAGCCTTCCATAGTAAAATGTTAACTTTCCCATTTCGTTTCCATTATGTCAAGAACCGAACCTCCAAGTCTGAAACCTCACATTCTAGGGCAGTGGTTCTCAACCTTCCTAATGCCGTGGCCCTTTAATACAGTTCCTGTGGGTCACGACCCACAGGTTGAGAACCGCTGTTCTAGGGTATTCTTATGATTGATACCTATGTCCCATGAAGCTGATTGTCCCATTTTAAGAATGGCCTGAATACTATAATTATTTTTAAAGTAAATATTTAACTGGAAAGTTCCTAGCAAGACCTTACCAATCGATATTTTAATATTGAAGGCTTTAGCATTTTAAGTATTACTTTTGTAAAGAATTCCCTTTAACCTTGAAGATTTAAGTCCCTAAATTTCAGATGAAAATGCTTTTGTTTCAGTGGGCTGAAATATAGAGAGACAGTGAAGGTTTATTTCCTACCTTACAAAAACCAGACTTGTACAGATCTCGTGGCTCTGTCTCCTGTGTGTGGCCTCTTCCAGAGTCCTACCACTTCTATTGAAGATTTCCAGGTAATTTTTAACGGAATTAACTATCAATACACAGCTTAATACAAAAGAAGTTGACAGGAGAAAATTCCCCATCTTTTGCTCATAAATGATAGGACCATGTCACTGCTGAAATGTCTGTCTCAGGTGTGAATCCATTAGCAGTAAGCCTTGGGGCTGGGGGTTCTTGGGGAGCTCATGAGATAAAAAGCAACTTGCAAACTCTGCCAAGGATGTGCAGCATCCCTCACAGCCAAGTCACACAGCCGCGCTGTCACCCTGTCCCTGCAAGAGTTCGGTCTTAGTGGAAGATATCAGGGCTCAAAGACACTGGACGGCTGGGAAGGAAGGTATTCTCAAAGCTTTGACGACTATGGATTCTCTGGGACTTGGACCCTTGGAAATTAAGTTGTTGCGAGTAAACTATTTCTATTTAATAATGTAGTTTTAATTTATTTGCAGAAAAAAATTAAAAACCTGGAACTGCTGTTAAGTGTTTGCAGGAGGGAAGGAAATACTAAAATCTCTGTTGTGTACTAAGTCGAGGAGCCTGCTGGTGCCGACTCTATGTGGTTATCTGAGTCTCTTGCACTGACTGGTCTCAGAGGAGTTTGTCTCCCAGAACTGCAGAGATTTGCATCAGGTTACATTCTTCTGTAGTGCAATCCTTAAAATCCCAGAGATTAGTGCCTAACCACTTTAGGAAAAAAACAAAACAAAACAAAGTTGACGATATCCCTAACCCAGGGGTGTCAAGAGTCCGATGGGTGGAACTCCACTTGGAGAACTCCAACCTCCAGTTCTCGATTCAGATCACGCACGCGTAGCTGCCCTGGAATTATATGTGAGCCTAGAAGGACCAGCGACGGCAATGCTCTTCAGGAGACGGGAGGTCTCTCTGCATTGCAACCGAAGTGCAGACGGCCAACTCCACCACCATGGAGATACCCACTAGGCAAGTCCTGACATCAAGCTCCAATCTAGGATTTTGGCAATAAAATCGAGTTTGATGTACGTCTATGCTAGATTTCCTATCCAGTCTAGTAAAGTAAAGCACCTTTGGATTAAAAATGTTAAGCTCAACAGCAACTAGACTTCTCAGTTTTGTGTTTAATTTTCTTTATGTCTCCATGGCTTAATAATGTTCTGTTGCCAGAGAAAAATATCAATCTGTGGAGTCCAGACTTTCTGCTGGAGGGGCATATTTCAACCTAAAAGTACCTAGAGAGAGGAGGGAAAAAGAGGTCAAATTTGAATCACTGTAGAATCACCACCAATCACCAATCTGTCCCATCATTTCCAGAGTCACTGGTCAAGACTCTGACACAAAAAACCTAGACCATCTGGTCTGACCAGTCCCCCTGCCCCCCTCCCACTGGACGTTAACTAAGTTTATAAAATCAGACCTGGGATGAAATGTCTTAATAAAAAAGTCACCAACCCACTTCTTTATTCTTTAGGAGCTCTTCTCTGGGAGTCTGGTCTGACACATACCCCCTGTGCCTCAGGCTGCCACCCCCTCTCTGAAGGCTCACCACCCCGACCCGCAGTGAGACCTACTGAGTCCGAGAGTGACGGTACACAGGCAGGCCTGGGCAGCACACATCTGCCTCGGCCCTCAGAAGTTACCAGAGTTCTACAAGGATCCGAGCAACTTTTCAAGGCTGCACAGGGAATAGTCAGAGTCGGGACCAGCTTTCTCAATCCCCAGTTTAATCTTTCCAGAACAAACAGCAAGAATAAACCTATTGTAGTTAAGTACAGCAGATATACACTTAAGTATGGCTAGAAGATGACAAAAAAGAGTGGAAGGGAATTCAAAAGGACAGGAAGGAAAGGACACGAAAGTGGCCTGCGTGTACACACTGGCGGGCACCACGGCGAGGGCTGGGGCACCGGGTCCAGGGTGCCACCCCAGGCCCTGGACTGACCTCACAGCCTGCCCTCTCACCTTGGGCTGGGGCTGGCACCAAACCCCTCATACCTGCGCCTGTGGGCACAAGCCTCTAGGTTAATCACCTCCTAGAATGAGGAGTCGTCTCAAATCACAGAGTCTACAACCACAGTAACCGTTTTGGGGACTTCACAGGTTATCTTTAAGATTCCCATGCTGTTTCAAAGAGCATTCGAAAAATTATTAATTGCTTCAAAAAGAAAATAATTTACTATTATTTTCATAAAAACCAAGCATTTGAGAAAAAATTAACAAAATAAAACAAAAAAACCCCAAGTATTTGTGTGTTTCTCCCGCGGGAGCCTAGCCGGGCGCGGAGCATGCGAGGCAGGGCCCGCCGGGGCCGGGCCGAGGCGCGCCATTACCTTGCCGGTTGAAGTCCATGGACGGCTGCTTGCAGTCCTGCGCGCGGTGCCCGGTGGCCCCGCAGTTGTAACAAGACAGATTCCCACTCTTTTTGTGACTTGAACCATTGCTACTCCCCACCAGTCCTTGGGCTTGGTAGACCCCCGCTGTCCCCGCCATGAAGTTCTGCATGGGCGGCACCGGGAACGTGGACTGCCCACCCAGCACGGGCTCGGGGGTCCCGCTGCCGCTGTAGGGCGCGTGCACCACAGGGAAGGTGGACCCGCCGCCGTACTGCTGGGCGCCCACGTAGCCACTGCCGCACACAGGGCTGAAGGGCAGGAATGGAAAGGGGAACACGGACGGCCCCGAGAACGGGTGCTGGAAGTAGCTGGCGTAGCTGACTGTCAGGCCGCTGGAGCCACAGCTGCCGCTGCAGCCGCACGATGTGCACACAACACAGCCCGGCGGGGGCGGCGCGGGCTGCGGGGGCGGCGCGGGCTGCTGATGGTGGTGGTGGTGGTGGTGATTGGGGTTGGAGGCGGGAATGTTTCCTGTGGAGGCGCCGCTGCCACTGCTGCTGTAGAAACTGCTTTCCGGGACGGAGGACAGCGCAGGGCTGGAGCTGGGGGCCGGGCAGCTGGGCAGCGTGGCCATGTTCGCGAAGGAAGTGGCGGGGAGGCTGCTGGGGGAGGCGGTGCTGCTGCTGGCGCAGAAGCCGCCCTGCAGCGGGCCCACGGGCATGCTGCTTACCGCAGAAAAGGCAACTTTGGTGTTGGCTGTGTACAGAGCTGTCCGGGGGTTGATTATTGCAGGGGGCACGCTTATCTGCACGTTGTTGGGACAGGACGTTTGCCCAGAAATGGCAGAGTCAGCAGGAACGGAAGGCGACAGCAGCAGTTTGATGGGCGGCCGGGCCGCGTGCAGGACCGAGCTGGGCGTCCCTGGGGCAGCCGTGCTGGTCTCCACCACCAGGGCCGGCTGCTGCGATGTCTTCAGCACCCTGTCCAGTGTGGATGCGTGCACGACTTTGGCCCGGGGACCAAAGGAGACCGTGGGTGACATGGAACTGCTCTCCGAGAGCCCCGAGAGGACCTGCACAGGCTGATGGGGCGTGGGCGGAGGCAGCGCGTCCACCATGGCACCGCCAAAGCTCTTGTCCACCTTCACACTGCTCCTGGGTCCAGACCCTTTGCTCCTCTCCTCTAGAGACAAGAGTGAGTGCATGGAGGACGGGAGCAGCTTCATGTCTGAGCTGCCCCTCTCAGACTTGTGCACAGAACTTAGCATGCGCATGGGCGCCACGTGCGGGGCTGCGCCCATCATCTGCGGGGGCACCGGGTGGTGGCCAGAGGGCGTGGAGCCCGCCTCGTTCTGCACGGGGAGGACCTGGGCCGTGGGTCTGGCGGAACTCGAAGTGAAGTGACTGAGCAGCATCACCGGCTTCTCCTTGTCCGGACCCTCCAAATGAATCTCCACACCTGGAGACGGAAACAGAGCTGAGCGAGCAGAACGAGCGTCACCCCAGGCCGCCCACCCCGCCCATGCTGGCGCCCTTACGTCTGTCGCTCTCCTCTGCACTGTCGGAGCTCTCCTCGCGGGCCTGCACGCCCATCGGGCTGGACGAGGAGCTCGAATACTCGGAGGAGCTGCCTTCCCGGGGCAGCTGGTGCGCGGCTGGCTCAACTTCCACCCGCAGCTCTGCGGAGAAGGCGCGGGCAGGGGCCGTTGGTGAAGCCCCCACCCCCTGCTCAGCGGCCCCGCCCCGCAAGAGGCCCCACCTGGGGGCAGGTGGGGAGTTAGGGACTCAAATGGGCACTGTGACCCTTCAACAGGGCCCAACCCAACCCCAGCAGTGAGGAGCACACAAACCCTGCCTGAACACTGCGCCAGCCCTCTCAGAAGCAACCCTGAAGCACCGCACGACCACCCACCAAGCCGCGCTGTAGCTGCTGGGGGACACCTGGCACCAACAGGCAGTCTTCCCCACCACCCTCACAGGGAAAGACCCAGCCCACCTGACGAGAGGACAGAGCCACTATCACCATGTCCCCTCCCTACTTAGAGGAGAAGGAGAAGGAAAAATGGGTAGTAGATAGAAGGGCACATCCTGGGAGCAGGAGGGTGACAGAACGGGCGGCCTCTGTGGGCAGCACTGCCTTGCACTGGGCCTCTGAGCGCCAACCCTGGGAAGAGGGAGCCTCATCTCACCTCTGCTCACCTCCTGCTCCTCACCACATGGCTTCCAGACCTAAACCTTCTGCCCACACAACTTTAGACAAGTAACCCATCTCCAGCTTCTAACCCACCCTCCCTTCTATTTTTCTACAGCAGAGATTACCAAAGTTAAAGGAAAATAAGTATAAAGACTAAACAATGTAAATGTAAAATTCATGCGATTTGAGGTCTCATTATCACCAAGAGCACACTGCAAAGTGTGGAAGCCCCCACCTGCACAGCAGCCCCCACCTGCCGCATGGCTGGCCCGTCCGGCCTGCACGGGGCCCACGTGGCTGGTGGGGGGCACCCGAGCCACACCGCTGCTGCTGACCAGGGATGGGCCGGAGGGGTTCAAGCACCGTCTCTCTGACTTCTCCCTGTGAAGAGAGCAGTGTGCACAGTGTCACAGTTGTTTAAATTACCCAAAGGAGTCCCCTCAAAATCATTTCAAGGGTGACAAATAATTCTAATTTGTCAAATTCACTACAAAGGGCCTTTCTTGTCCAACCTGGTCACATCTTGTCCTAAGCACGATTATGGATCAGGAGCGGGGTAAGAAGCCACATGGTCACTGATGCTCAACACTCAGTGCCCACCCTAGAAACCGCAACGTCAGACACAGACCCTAAAGACCACTCAGTACTTACTTCTCCAGCTCCAGCTGAGTCTTGAGTTTTTTCTTTGCTCCCATGGTGAGGGACTCAAATTTATTGAGATCTTCTTCAGTAAGGCTCAAAAACTTTCATGGGAGAAACAAATTACAAAGTTACTGAGAAGTAATTAGGACTCTGAAAATGACCAGAGCTTGAATGTATGAACTGACTAGGCATTAGACACCTGGGAATACTTAGCCATTCACTTACTAAATGATTCCGTGTCAACCGTTCTAACTATGAGACTCAGATCCCTCCAGGGGCACTGCAGGCCTACTGCCCCACTGGCTCACCGGGGAACCCACCTGCCCTCCACTCTGTACCAGTCCCAAGCAGGGACATGCTGTATGGGCAGGTGACTTAAGGAACCTTCTGTGACTCTTGCATAAGTCACAGTTTCATCTGCTATCTGCTACAGAGAAGCAATTTATGAGAGCACCTCCCGCCCAACATTCCTTCAGAAGGCAATCCTTTTAGAACCTGCATCCCCAGCAAACAGGATAATCTCCTTATGATGGCTTTTTTCACAAAATTACCATTTTCTTTTTTTAGACACAGAGTCTCACTTTATCACCCATTGTAGAGTGTCATGGTGTCACAGCTCATAGCAATCTCCAGCTCTCGGGCTTAGGCGATTCTCTTGCCTCAGCCTCCCCAGTGGCTGGGACTATAGGCACCCGCCACAACACCTGGCTATTTTTTTGTGGCAGTTTGGCCAGGGCTGGGTTTGAATCACCTTCAGTATATGGGGCCAGCGACCTTACCACTGAGCCACAGGTGCCGCCCCACAAAATTACCATTATTTGGGGGATGACAGCGACTTTATCAGGTAGCAGGTGATCCAGAAAAGTAGACACTGTCCAAACTTAATGGCTACTGACCCACAGACAGGCTTTGGTACGAGCAAATGGATGATATACTAGTTTTCAGATCATCCTGTATTTTATTTTTTTTTTTTTTTTTGAGACAGAGCCTCAAGCTCTCCCCCTGGGTAGAGTGCCATGGCTTCATGCTCACAGCAACCTCCAACTCCTGGGCTCAAGCGAAGTCTCCTGTCTCAGCCTCCCAAGTAGCTGGGACTACAGGTGCCCGCCACAACGCCCGGCTATTTTTTGGTTGCAGCCATTATTGTTGTTTGGCGGCCCGGGCTGGATTCGAACCCGCCACCTTAGGTGTACATGGCTGGCACCTTAGCCGCTTGAGCCACAGGCGCCAAGCCATATTTAGTTATTTTAACTCATACATTAGAATAAAAATTTTTTAACTGATTATAATCAAGATTAATAAAACCCTTTTTGAGACAGAGTCTCACTATGTTGCCCTTGGTAGAGTGCCATGGCATCACAGCTTATAACAACCTCAAATTCTTGGGCTTAAGCAATTCTCTTGCCTCAGCTTCCGAAGTAGCTGAGACCACAGGCGCCCACTACAACATCAGGTTATTTTTGGCTGCAGTCGTCACTGTTGTTTAGTAGGCACAGGCGGGGCTCAAACCCACCAGCCTTGGTGTATGTGGCCAGCGCCCTACTCACTGAGCTACAGAGGCCAAGCCCATTTTTTTTTTCCCCAGACAGGGCCTCACTCTGTTGCAACAGTGTCATCACAGCTTACTCTAGCCTTGAACTCCTAGGCTAAAGTGATCCTCTTGCCTCAGCCTCTTGACTAGCTAGGAATACAGGTGCATATCATGCACAGCTCATGTTTTATGTTTCATAGACATGGGGAGTCTTGCTATGTTGCCCAGGCTAGTCTTGAATTGCTGGACTCAAGTGATCCTCTGGCCTCGGGCTCCCAAAGTGCTGGGATTACATGAGCCACTGCACCCAGCCATAAAATCTCTTTTTAAGAAATCCTAAACAGGCTCGGCGCCTATAGCTCAACCGGCTAAGGCGCCAGCCATGTACACCTAAGGTGGTGGGTTCGAATCCCCAGCCCGGACCCGCCAAACAACAATGACGGCTGCAACCAAAAAATAGCCAGGCGTTGTGGCAGGTGCCTGTGGTCCCAGCTACTTGGGAGGTGGAGGCAGGAGACTCGCTTGAGCCCAGGAGTTGGAGGTTGCTGTGAGCTGTAATGCCATGGCACTCTACCCAGGGGGACAGCTTGAGGCTCTGTCTCAAAAAAAAAAAAAAAGAAATCCTAAACAGAAGTATGTAGCAAAAGCTTGATTTCTAGGTTCAGTTCCGATTTTTTGACAAACCAAACTTTTACATAGATAACAACCACTAAGTCATTTTGACCAGCGGGGACTCAAGAGTTCAAATGCCTCCTGCAGGTTTAATTAGTTTTATTAGTGACATCAAGACTTAAATTCCAGAATTTTTTTAACAGTGGAAAGAATATTTCTCATCAAAATTATCTATTATAAAAAATGATTTTTAAGTAGGACAGCTTGAGAGATGTGCGATCCATCCATTCCTCCAGACACGACCCTTAATCCAGCCAGACCATCAGCGCCACTTGAGTGGGCCAGTGTGTGAGGGTTCATGTAGAACTGGCCTTGCTCAGCCCTCAGGATACACATCAGCTACAGCAAAGGCCGTTTAGGAAGGGAGTGTGGTCTGGAGCACACCGTTCCTATCTCCAGCCGGGCTCCGTGTCCCCCATAGCACAGAGCACCCCACCTGTGAGGACCTGAGCGGTCTGGTCTAGGAAAGCTGTGGTTTACAGTAAGTCCTGTTCCCACGCTGGCTGCAGCCACAGTGCCTTCACAAAGTCCACAATCCCTGGTATGACCAGGCCACATGCCCTGTCCACCCTGACTTCCCGTGTTTTGGAAACCCAACTCAGTTCCTCTGTGAATGAGGTCATTAGAAATATGACTTGAGAAAATCGCCAATTGAATTCTGTACGGCTTATTAAGAAACCAACACACCTTCTCCATAGTGAGCTGCTTAAAGACAGGGTAGTACTTGTGCAAACGCAGTTTCCTCAGCCAATCTAAGATTCCATTCTGCTCCTGGGTCTGAGGGGCCTGCAGACTGGAAGGCATTAGGATGGCAGGCGAGGCGTCCATCTGGGTCCGGTAGGCCAGCGCCGAGCCCGTGCCACCCGTGTGGGAGCAGTGGGGCAAGGTGGGGGCCGAGCCGGCAGGGTGCTGCACGTGGTGCTGGGCTCCACTCTGCGATGACGGGATGCCAGCCACGCCACACACAGGCCTGTGGGACGGGGCAGGCGGAACAGAAAGACTGTGGTTTTCAAAACCGCAGGCTCCACCACAGCCCTCAAGAGGCCTGCAGCCCTACAATGCAGCCACTCTGAGCTCTAGACACAGAGGGCTCTGCCCTCCCACTCCCCGCCATGACAGCCTCCTTCCTCCAGCTGTGGTCTCTGCAAGTGCCTGTGCACAACTGTGCATGTGTGATGTGCACACCCACAGGCATAATGTGTGCACCATGTGTGTACATATCTATAACGCCAGGACTCTGGTAGGCTGCTTAGTTTCTCCTGTTACATTTTTTTGGGGGGATCTTGCTCTGTCACCCAAGTTAGATCACTGTGGCCTCAGCCTTGCTCACAGCAACCTCAGAGTCCTGGGCGCAAGAGATCTTCCTACCTCAGCCTCCCGAGTAGCTGGGATTGCAGGCGCCCACCATGACACCTGGCTAGTTTCCTTTATTTTTAGTAGAAACGGGGTCTTGCTCTTGCTCCAGCTAGTCTCAAACTCCTGGGCTCAGGCAATCCACCCACCTTAGCCTCCCCAGAGTGCTAGGATTACAGGCATGAGCCACTGTGCTTGGACTCTTCTGTTACTTCTAAATCAGGGGATGATATATATGTACTTTTTATAGACAGTCTCTTTGTTGCCCTCTGTAGAGTGCTCTAGCATCACAGCTCACAGCAACCTCTAGCTCCTGGGCCTAGGCGATTCTCTTGCCTTGGCCTCCCAAGTAGCTAGGACCACCAGCGCCTGCCACAATGCCCCACTATTTTTTTGTTGCACTTTGGCCAGGGCCGGGCTGGAACCCGCCACCCGGGTTCCAGACATATAGGACTGGTGCCCCACTCACTGAGTCACACGCACCACCCAATCAGGGGATGATATTAATGCATCAGAAATTAAAACAGACTCCTAAATCTCTAATATTCACATTACTTTCAGAAGACTGAGCCCAGAGAGCACCAGCCAAGTCCCAGGCTCTGTCTTGCTCCCTCCACCCTGCACAGCAAACCCAACACACTCACTGAGAGCTAACTACACAGCAGGCATGGGGGCATCAAAGTCAGCACCCGCCAAGACCCTGCCACCTGAACAGCACTCCACACACAATTATCTGCACTGTGATGGCGGCAGTGTGTCTTTCCCAGCAGACCTCTGTGGTCACAGGACAGCCCATTTTAATGTCAGCTGTCCAGACCAGAAACCTGTTTCTCACGGGAGCTATCACAGTCCTGACAGGCTGAGCACTGGCAGAGCACCCTGCCACCCAGGAGCACAGTCCTGAGCATGTGAAGACCCGGGGTTTGTCAAAGTGAGGCTTTTCAGAAACTCTGGTTTTCTAGGTCCAGGGCATTTTACAGTGAGTGTCCCTGGGAATTCCAGGCCCAGAACTCAGAAAGCCCTTTTGGGGGAAATCATAAATTGGCTTATCTCTACCCAACTTCTCTCTATATATATTATCCAAGGCTGGACTTGAAAATGACTTAACTCTAGGAACATAATTTCTTCATAACTCTGGAATGTTCTGGCTGTACAGAAGACGTCTTACCTGCTAGGCACGCCCATCACGGCACCTACTTTAGAAAGAGAAGGGTTGCCAGGACCTATAAAGTTGAAAATAAATGTTACAAGCATTTTGAGACAATAAAGATATTTTTATTTTCATTTGATCCTGCTTTATAAACTCACTTGGACTTTGAAGCTGTTGGGTAGGAGATGAAGTGCTGAAAAACTTCTTAACATGGTCATTTTTTAATACATGTGAAGGTAGCGAAGCCAAATACCTGGAATGAAGCGGACAATTTCGTTGGTTAAGATGGCATCAGCCAGAGCCACTGGGGAGAAAATACAGCTGTCCATCAAGAGAAGTGTACATCAGAAACAAGATTAAAGTGTTATAGCTTAACATTCTTCCTGCTTTGCTTTAACCCAATTTGGGGTTTCTTTTTGAGACAGAGTTTTGCTCTGTTGCCTAAGCTAGTGTACAGTGTGGCAACCCAGCTCGCAACAACCTCAAACTCCTGCGCTCAAGAGATCCTCCTGCTTCAGCCTCCCAAGTAGCTAGCCCTACAGATGGCCACCACCACACCAGGGTAGTTTTTCTATTTTTAGAAGAGATGGGATTTTGCTTTTGCCCGGGCTGGCTTCAAGTTCCTGACCTCAAGCAATCCTTCTGCCTCAGCTTCCCAGAGTGCTAGGGTTGCAGGCCACTGCTCAGCCTAATTCTAACTCTTTTTATGATTCATCTAGCTTCCACAGTGCCCCGTCCCTGCCCTTTGTTTGCAGACCCAGTGTGCCATGCTGCTGTGGGCCCCACATGCCAGGATGCCAGACAGAAAGTTCTCAGGAGATGCTCATCGAGCACTAGAGTCTTAACCCACAACAGTCTTAATTTTCACTTTAGAACACAAACAGCAATTCAGTATTATCATGGAAGACTTTCACAATTATATTAAATGATGCCAAATACTTTGAAATTCCTTTCCCATTACCTCAAAACCATCCTTAGGTTATCAAAATCTTTTAAATTCTCTATAACTGATGAAAATCCCTCAACACAAAGCAGAGACCCAAACCACGCCCACCCAGGGAACCAGGACAGTCAACCGTGGGACCTGCTACCCCTGCCTGCATCACAGGTGGCCTGGAGTGTGCAGCCCCCAGCCCGGGGAGGAGCCTTACCTCAGGCCCGATTCCAGACCCATGTGGTTTCGCTCCACATAAAACGAATCTGGGCCCGCTAAGCAAGGAATGAGCTTCTCCAAATTCTCTTCAGGGTGGAGCTGAGACAACTGAAAGAGAAGAGACAGAGAAGACATGTCAAAGCCACTTCATACCAGCAGACTTCCTTTAGTTAAGAAAACCTTGGGCAGGCAGGTATGTGACAGTGACAGCTGTGGCTCTGGTGTAATTTATACCATTCTAGTAGCTTTTCCAGGGTTCTACATGTACTAAGGATGTGGAAACCACACAAAAGCATCGTGCCCACTGCGCTGTCAGGAACAGTTCAATAATCTGCATGCTCTTAACCCCTCAGAGCCACCAGCGTGTAGCCAGGCCACCACGCGAACTGCATTTCCAACAGGACCCACCCTCTAAGGAGACAGGACCTGTCAACAGTCTTGACGGTGGCATGAAGATGAGGTAGTCACCACACAGGCAGGCCAGAAGAGGTGGGCTTGAGTAGGCCAAACTGCTAAAGGCCCCAGGGCTAGCATGTCCACTGGCCAGAAGCCCTGGACAGGGGGAGATACCCTTTTCCCCAAGAGGAGTGCAGAGAAGCCTGCATGATGGTGGCCCCTGAGGACCAGGTACAAAGCCCTGCGTGTTTTCCTGGATACCTCTCTGAATCCAACGCACAAGAACTGCTTCTGCTTCTGGTCGTAGAGCCTATGCAAAAGTCTCCAGTTTCTGGGGAGTAAAACAGAGGCAGTACTTCCCCACGTCAGGGGAAGGCCCAGGCTCAAAGGTCCTGCCCAGGCGGATGTTGGGCTGGCAGAGGGAAGGACAATACCCCTGCTTCTGTCACAAGTCCAACCCCCCCAGGAAGGGGCAGAAAGAGTAGAGAGACCTCTCTGTGCCACAGGCACACAGGACCGCTGGAAACTTGGAGTCAGCAAGACCACTGAGCATGCCCTCCGGGCTCAGCCAGCAGCCCCCTTCCCTGGAGGCGCCTGAGGGGAACGGGGGTAAGAGCACAACCCTGAGCAGCTCCGCAGCCCAGAATGACTCCAGGGTCCTGCTAAGGGCCTGTGCAAGAGGCACTCCCTTTCCAGGCACAAGCACTGGAGGGCTACAGTCTTCCAGAGATGACATCTAACATTCAATAAAAATCTGCAGGACATAAAAAAATAAATAAATATAAACAAAACCTGCAAGACACACAAAAAAGTAAAGTGGGAAAAACTGCTGTCCAGTGACAGAGCAATCATTAGAACCAGACTCAGAAACAGCCCAGAAGCTGAAACTATCAGACAGCCGCTTTCAAAAATAACAGTGATTAACACATTAAAGGATCAAGTCAGAAAGATGACAGCACACGTGAAGACAAGGAAACACTCCTGGGAGGCATGGCCAGTGGGAAACCAGGGAGGAGTCAGTCAGTAAGATCCTGGTGCCAGACAGGAGGAATTCAGCACAGCCCACAGACTCGTCAGCAGCTGGGCAGCGCAGAGGGGAAAAGCATTAGCCGATGTGCACACAGGGCAACAAAAATCATCAGCATTGAAAACAGAGTAAAAAGAGAAAAACAAAAAGGCACTGCAGAGCTGCAGACAATACCAGAGGCCTAAGACACACAAACCAGAGTCTCCAAAGAACGCGGGCAGAAAAAACGTGTGAAGAGATAATAGACAAGAATTTTCCAAAATTAATGCAAGACAACAAACCAGGCACCGAAGAAGGTCACAGAACCCCAAACAGTGTAAACATCAGTGGTGGGGTCACCCAGACGAAGACCCAGGCAAGTTGGTCAAAGCTCCAGCTGACTGGTGCGTCACACAGAATGAGAAGCTCAGCAAAGAGAGGAAGTTTAGTGGTCTAAACATTTACAGAGGAAAAAGTAAATTCCTGGGGGCATTAGCAACCCACAGCACGCATGTGGTGTTCCCAAGGCCTAGCAGGCCAAAACAGTCAGCAGCATCAAACATCTTCTGTCCAAGCTGTAAAGACAGGGCCTGTCCCCTGCATGTTCCCTATAGGAATCTGTCCTTGATTTCAAAAGGAGAATGTGAGACTCGCTCTAGGGCCACTTAAACATATCAACCAAGGCGACGATTCAGGTGTGTGACTGTGGTTTAGGCAGTGGCTCACTGCTGTAGCATAGGCCAGCAAGCTTGAAAACAGGTAAACACACGTGCAGGGATGTGTACACGGCCATGTGTAGGGGTGTGCGTGTACACGGCCACAT